CAAGGTTGCAAACTGCTGGTGCCTCTTCTCATTGTGACAGGGGCAAAAGCCAGCATCCCCTTTATCCAATCTCCCCCCTTTGCAGTGGCACGTCCCCAGCACTGTCCCCTCCACAGCAGAGAGGACCTGCTTTCACTCCCCACCACCTTGAAGCCCAGGAGCCTGCTCCTGCCCTGCCCCTGCTCCCAGGAGGCCAGCTTAGGCTGGCACTGCCCAGGGCTGGGCTCCTGCACCCCAAGGGGCAGTGTTTCCTCTCTATGCAGAAACTGGACCCCAAATATGAGAAAAGAAGAAGAAGAAGAAGGGGTGGGGGATCCCATGAAAACTGACGGGAAACCAGGGGAGAGGGAGGAGAGGGAGTGGGAAAGGAAGAACTGTGGGTGAAAGGGATCAAATTTCCCAGTTTCACAGCTGAACATCCCACCGTGCATCCCACACTGTGCATATCCATAAAGCACTAACTAAAAACACTACAAATAAACAGAAGGAAGGCAGGAGGGAGGAGGAGGGGAACAGGCAGAGGGAGGGGGGAAGGGGAGGGCTGGGGCCTCAACTGGAACAAATCATCTCCCATGCCTGCATGACTGTGTCGAGATGAACCCCAACATCATGTGTGTCTTCAGTTAACTAAGAAATACCATAAAAGACACGGCAAATCAGCATCAGCAATATCGTCATTTAAGATAATATATTTTAGTCATTTTATCCAAGTTAAAGGACAGATGGATCAACAGAAAGTAGTGAATTTTGAAAGATATTAAACAGCTGACTCAAGCCTGGTGGTACACCCGTCTGATCCCAGTGACCCTAGAGGCTGAGGCAGGAGGATCCCAGGTTTGAGGCCACCATGGGAACCTTAGAGAAAAGTCACCAGGGCTGGGACGTGGCTCGGGGTAGAGCACTCGCCTACCCAAATCCTTGTGCAGGGCCTGAGGTCAGCCCCAGGTGGGGGAAAGAGATGAAAGGACTGAAGCCCACTAAGGTCAAGACGGACAGAGTGACCAGAGCTGAACCCAGGAGCACAGGGGCGGGCTCCAGGTGCACGGGGAACGTGATGGAAAGGTGAAAATGACCCCCAGGACACGGTGGATGTGGGGCAGGCCCAGGTCACCCAGCCTCTGCTAAACGGGAATTGTTGATGAAGAGCACACAGGTAAGGAGTAGAGCACTTACTTTACTTCTACACGATCCTGTGTGAGTACTGACTCCATGTTCATGTGCCTGGGGCCTGGTGCCCAGGACAAGTTGCATAGACCCAGGAAAGGTGGTGAGACGTGATGAATGTCTGTGTGGGTGCTGCATGGCCACAGTGGGCTTGCAGTGTCCACAGGGGGCTCTGTGAGGGCCGAGCGGGGCCTGGGAGGGGCCTGTGCTGCACCCAGGTCTCACCTGACAGCTGCCCACCCCCGGCCCTTGCTGGGGTGAGAAGAAGCTGGTCACCTTGCTGTGTGGAGGAGGCAGCAAACCCTGCACGGTGTGAAGGTCCTGGTGACCACATCCTGCTCACTTTGCAGCTTTGCTCAGCTCCTGCATCCTGGCCCCAATGTGGCCCCAAAATTAGCAACCTCCTGTGTCCTGCTGTGCCCTGGAAGGGGAGGCAGCAGAGGACATGGTGGAAAGTCCCTCCTGAAGACACTGGGCCTCCAGAGCCCAGGCCAGAGGAGGGAGCCCTGGGAAGCTGAGGGTATGTACTGATGGAGCCCAATGTCACCACTGAGTGACAGAGCCCGTCATGGGTGGCATTCACAGAGCAATGTATTATCTCTGCTTTGGGTGTTGAGGGGCACTGGGGGAAATAGTTCTGAGCTATGGTAGAGGCATGGGTTTCCTGCTCTTAAAAAAAAAATGTCTTGTCCCAGGGAGAGCAGGAAACCCACATCAGAATCTGGAGTAGACCTGGGCGCAGATGTCCACTATAGACACAGTGGTTGACCAGGTTCAGGGACTTGCAAAAGATTCAAGAAACCAGGACACTTACAGACCACTGTGGACTGCCTCACACAGAACCCAGCACATGGGTGCTCAGAAGTCTGCTTTGACAGAAGCACAAGGTCCTCAACAATGGTCCACCACGCTGAGCCTCTCACTGAACCTGAGGTCACTCCATCTCCATGGCACTGTCTGCTGTGCTAACTGGTCAATGGTGTTCCATCAAAACCACGTCTAAAGGGGACAAGGCGGTGTCATGAGAGCTAACAGTGGGTGAAGACATAAGAGGTGTGGACTCACTCCTTAGGTTGATCTGTACTGTTTTGTTCAGGACCATGGTGGACAACAGGTCCCCTTCTCTTAGCTGCCCAGCACACCTGTTCCTTGTCTGAGAAGAAGCTACTCCTGGTGTTTTCAATCTTCATTTGTGTGGAGATTTCTTCCTTCCTATTTCCTCCATCCTGTGAGTGTCCTCACCTATGAGACGAGTCTCGGCATACAGTTGGACTCTGTGTTTTGATCCACTCTGCTCATCTGTGTCTTTTATTGGGGGGGTGAGACCATTTACATTCAGTGTTGGTATAGATTGTGTCCGTGTTTCCTGCCATCTTGGTGTTTTGCTACATTGGATTCCATCCTGGGTCTCATTTAGTGGATCACTTCTCAGGGATATCCGTGTACGGGGGAACTTCCAGATTTGGATCTGAGTTCCTCTGTGTGCACTTTATCTGGAGTGTTCTTTTAGTTCTGGGTGGTGGCCATGGATTCTTTCAGTTTATCCTTGTCATGGAGAGTTTTATTCCCCTCCTTGAAGTAGAAAGAGAGCGTCGCTGAGTGTGGTGACCTTGGCTGGCAGCTGTTTCCTTACAGAGCTTGAAATACCTCACTCCAGTCCTCCTTGATTGTAGGGTCCAAAGGGACAGGTCAGAAGGAGTGTTGTTGGTTTGCTTCTAAATGTGACCTGAACTTTCTCTCCAGAAGTTCATATTCTTTCCTTATTTTCTTTTTTTCCCCCATGGAGGAAATGATATGAAACATTTATTTGATATATCAAACAAGATCAGAGCTAAGTAACGCAACTCCACTGCAGCATAACAAAAGCAATCACCCCTCGACCCAGTGTAAGATTGAAATGCAACCTGCATAAGCTCGTGTCATGAGATAGCAAGACTGCTGCTGCCTTCCCCAGGACTCCCAGCCCCTACCAGGTGACAGCGAAATACCGACGGACCCATAGTTTTATTGAAATCAATCATTTAAAGTGTATTTTTAAAGATGAATCAAAATGCCTCAGTCTCATTAACCGTATATTCACCTGAAGCTTTTATCTATGTAAATGAGATTTATTTACTTCCCACTAGTGAGTCTTTATTTTACTCACACTATAGCAATGGATTTTCCATACTTAGTGTCTGCCTTGCCCAATATCAAAGGAAACAATCCAAAATGATTAGTAAAGAAAAATGTAGGAAATAACACCATCTTTAGTTTTAAATATTTTAAGGTTTAAAAAGTGTTTAAAGTTTGTAAGTCCTAGAAGGAAAACATTATCTGAATGAACACCCTAATGGCCAACCATGTGCAATGCTTCACCTGCCCTGGCTGCACAGGGGCAGGGTCACCTTGAAAGCACCCCAGCTCTCCTGATGAGGTCGGAGGTCGCCACAGCCACTAAGTGATGGAGGGTGCTTTTCTTCAGTGAGGGTCGTGTGCTGGACATTCTGCTTGACCTCCAAATTTGGCTGACAACTGACTGGTGAGACTCCTAACCTGTGGGTTGCTTTGACATCATGACATCTTTGCGGGGTTCTGGGCCGTGTCCTGGAAGGCCACCCTAACTCCTGGGTCCTGCATGGCTACAAGAACATTCCAGCATGCCCCCTCCCTCCGCAGGCATTCCCCCGGGAAAGCACCTGGGGAAGAGCCCACCTGAGCTCCTCCTTGTGGTCCGGCTTCCTCCTCCCTCTGGACCTCTGTGCTCTTCTGGAGCCTTCTGTACCCCTTCCCTTCTTCCTTGGATCTCTCGCTCCTCACGATTTCGCTCACGTCTTCTCCCGTGTTCTGTGCCCGAGGTGGACCTTCTTTCAGCATGGCCTTAGGTCATCATCCCACAGGCCAGGCCAAGATGGAGGGCTGCCCTTCCCCGTGGCCCACAGGTCTTGGGCTTTCCCTGGGCACTCGCAAGGCTGAGCTGAATCAGGTGGATTTCGATGGCTCTGTCACACTCTCGAATGGCAGCCTTTGGCTTCTGCAATTGGATGAAGACCCTGGCTCTCTCGGCCTGCAGAGTGGCCAAGCGAGGATTCAGCTGAGAGCCCCTGGGGCTCCCTGTAGCTGGCCACCATTCGGGGCTCCCCGGCAGCCCCGTCTTTCCCTGGGCTTGGTCCATCATCTCCTGGGTGACCTCTGCCTCTTCACCTCCCATTTCCTGAGGGGCCTCAGCGTCTGGCTCAATCTCACCTTCCTATCAATTCCTGCACCACGTTCCTCACTGAGGGCTCCTCTCTCTCTGTTTTCTTCTGTCTTCTTCTCTCTGCCTTCTCTTCCTGGATGCTTTCTTCTGTTCAGGTTTATGAGCAGCAGGTGGGACTCCGCCAGGCTCTCCACCCTCTCTCTCAGGAAGCGCCTCTCTTCAGTTTGCAGGATCCTTCTTTTCAATAATCCTCCTTCTTAATTGAAATGATCTTCTATATCCTGCATCTGCTCTGTTGTTTCAGTGCTCAGATCTTTTTATTCATTGAACATTTTAATAATCAGTTTCTCGTGATCTTTCTCTGGAATTTCTTCCACTTTGATATTCTGGCATCCTTTGTTGGGGGATCGTGAATTTGGGCGTCAGCTTTGTTTGCGTGTTTTCCGAGACCCTGGACTTGAGCATCAGTTGAGGTGGAGTCCCCTTCCTCTTTTCTAAGCATATCTTGGGTGTGTACTTCTCTTTTTAGTGAGGGCAGTTCCCTGATTCTGACATATGAGTAGACGTCAGGGTGGGAGCCGAGGTCCCCTCTAGTTGTTTCTCCCCGGGTCCTGGTTGCTGGTTGGGGGTTTTGTCTTCCCTGTTCTGAGTTGAAGTAATGGTGACATTCAGGCTGAGTTAGATCAAGGGAGCCATGAGGGTCACTGTTGCTTGATGGAGGTGTATTTCCCAACAGCGAGATCTCTCCTCTGTGACCTTCAACTGTCCCAGGAACTTACAGCCCTCTAATGTCAGCAACAGATGTACCGCCTTCAGATGCAAACCCAGTGTCTATTTGACATCTGTAACACGACCTGCCACCTCTGTGGGAATGGGGGGTCAGCATTTCACATCAGCAGCAGCAGATCAGGCGTTAGACAGCAGGTGTCCACTACGTCATCTGCTGTATGAATGATGAAAACCTCATGAATGGGATAGGAATGACATAAAATAGTGTAAGAAGGTGAGAGAAAGCTTGAAACATTTTTAAAGTGATCAGAGGAGAGGCAGGAAATAGGTAGCAGACGTAAAGAAGAAAAAATGAAAATTAACTGACAGTGCTGGAAAGGAAAGAGAGGAAGAGGAGGGGAAATGGGGCTGTCCCTGAGGCAGGAGGGCGAAGAAGGAGGGAGAGTAGCCTCAGGACCATGCTGTGCGCAGTCCAGCAGGGCAGGGTCACAGTAACTCGGACCCCTGTACAAATACACCCTCCTCGGACAGGTCAAGTTCCAGACATAAACCAGGGCAGAAGGAAGCCGATAGTGGACAGGTCAAGTGAGATGAGTGGGTCGGTGTCCTGTGAACCTGTCCGTGCAGGGAGGACAACTCGCACACCACCCCAGACGCACCAAGTCTGCACAGCGGAGACAGGAGAAGTGATGTGATGAAGTGAGGTCTGAAAAAGTCACAAACAGTTAAAGGCCAGGACATGGGGTGCCCAGCACTTCCCACTGTCGGGACACCCAGGGCGTCTTCTCCCAGGGCAGCCGTCACCCACACAGGGATGTGGGGTGGACCTTGGTCATCCCTGAAGCCCACATGCTGAAGCCTTGGCCACCCGCCGTGGCGCTATGGGAGGTGCAGGAAGCTCAGAGGTGGGGCCTGGCGGAAGGGACGTGGGCCCTGGGGACGAGCCCTTGAGGGGACGTGGGGACCCTGGCCCTCCCTGGCTCCCTTTGCTTCCCGCCTGCCAGGAGCTGAGAGCTTAGCTCCCCCGTGGACTTCCACATGTGCTGCCTGAGCAGGGCCCAGGGCACAGGCCAGGCCACCAGGACGAGGCTCTGCGCCAGGAGCCGCAGCGACCCTTCCTCTTAGCAGCTTTCTCCCAGGATCTGGCCTCGGCGGTGGAGAGTGGACCAGCTCCTCTCCACGTGCACAGGGAGGACCTCACCTAGCAGCTCTGCAGCCCAGGGCTCCTCCCAGCCCAGGCCTTGCACTCATGGAGGAGGATCCGGCCGGGCAGCCTGGGAGGCCTCGCTGTGTGCCCTCGTCACTGACCCCGTCCTGGGGTGACCCTTCCTTTATGCAGGACCTGAGTGCTCACTGCCCCCCAGACTCTGCACCTGGGGAAATGACCTGCTGCGAGCTTGGGGAAGCCCTGGCCCCTCTCCTGGGCTCCTCCATGGGAGACCAGAGGCAGAGCATGAGGCCAGGGGACCCAGGGTCAGCCAGAGGAGCAGTGGCCTGCCAGCACAGCCAAGCTCAGGGGTGGTGACGCCCACCTCAGCTCTCAGCCAGGCCGCTCTGTTGAGGGTGGGACAGGCTGGAGCATGGACCCCAGAGCAGATGGGACGCCTCT